CCGGTCGCACACATCACACATCTTGTTCTTTTTTCAAAGTCCCTTTTTCTCTTTTCAAACTCTTTTCATAAAAAAAAATGTTTTTCTTTTTGAAAATTTTCATACCGAGTCCTCAGTTTGAGTTCAGACACACCCAAGAGTGTAACCGAATCCCTCAAACTAAGGCTCTGATACTAACTTGTAACATCCTAATTTCTGAGGCTGAAAATTTCATTTTTAATTAAGTAATCATATAAAATCATTTTCCAAACATTTCTAATATTATATCAATTCATAAAACCATTACGTCGTGTTTCAAAAACATATCATCAGGTAATAATAATAATAATCAGAGTACAATCCCAGAAACTCAATGCGGAAATCATGCGTGAATGTGATGTGCCGCTACCGCGCCGACTCCTTCCCCTTCGCTGAAGAGGTACTTGAAACAAAACTGAAAACTGTAAGCACGAAGCTTAGTGAGTTCCCCCATCATACCACACACCGTACAATAACAAACTGTCAGGCAATTCTGGGGTGCCTGACTACCCAGGTCAAGCCATTATGGGGTGCTTGACTTACCCAGGTCAAGCCATTCTGGGGTGCTTGACTTACCCGTCGGTCCTTACGACCGACATCCGAGGACTATTTCACCTCCTACTACTACTAACACATAATATCATAGCATAAACATACTGTCAGACAATTCTTGGGTGCCCGACCTACCCTTCGGTCTTGACGACCGAACTTGGGGACTATACTTCCCCTACTACCACTATCACACATAACATATCATGCTAGTACATAAACATATCAGATAGCAGCAAACCTAGATGAATATCACAAAAACAATCATCTAGAATACAACTCCTACTGGTGGGCCGACATTGTGGTCGTAGACCCACCGCTACTGGAAGGTAACTCACCTCGTAAAGCTGAGTGTCGAATCTCATGGGAAGTAACCTCTAACAGCTACTCCGATGACTCCCAGCTATCATAATAATAATAATACTCAATCAGGGTCCACAACACTGCTCAGGGTAAAATGATCATTTTACCCCTCGGTCTAATTGGAACATACATAAGTTCCAGATTCTAGCTCATGAAGTCCAACCCTCATATGGCCTAATAACGGTTCCCTAAGGGCCCACTAATTGCCCAATTTCTAAATTGGGCCTTAACCCCAAATGGGCCCAAAAGTTCAAGTCCTAACATAATGGTTCCAAGGGGTCTAATTGTGGCCCAATAGGCCCAATACCCTAAATTCAGATTCCCAAGTCCAGAATTATACTTCCCAGTGGGCCACTGGGCCCAAAAGTCCAGGCCCATTTCCTTAAGGCCCAAAGCCCAAAACACTCATTCTGCATGTGTGCGCGCGACGTACTTGGCATGTACGCCCAGCGTACGCTGGCCTTGACCAGATCGGGGAGTTGACCCAGTACGCGCGGCGTACTGGCCAACTTCTTTGGGACTTCATCCATGACTTAATCAGTTAAGTCTTTACATCCAAAATGCAGATCTAGGTCGTTTAAGACCTCCTAGACCATAAAGTCACAAACTTTATGTGCTTGCATGCAAGGTTGGGGTCAAAACATGATTTTGGTCCTTTTAACAAACTTTAAGACCCAATAACACTTGCATGGTTGTGGCTTAACCATCAATGTCCGATTTTTATGGTTCTTAGTGCCTCTAAGAGCCCAAAAGGACAGTTCTTATGCTCTAGAACCACAATACTCAAACACTCCCAACAATGGGGTGAAAAAGGACATAAAAACCCCCAAATAAACAAATCTAAGCATACAATGGTCAAGTATGGAGCTTGATACCTCAAAGGAGTCAGAAATGGTGTCAAACCTCTGGATCTACCAGCTCTTGGTGGATCCTTGCTTCTTCTTCAAGCTCATTTCTTCTTTTCTCACTAAAACAACATCAAAAGCACTCTCAAATGGCTTATAGAACACAAAGGCACACAAAGGGAGCTAGGGTTTTCGTGGTGGCTGGGTAAGAGTGAAGGGAGGCTGAACAAATAGGAGTTATGTTCTTTATATAAGGAGTAAACCCTAAATTTTAGGGTTTAATGAGCTGCATGCGTACGCTGGGCGTACGCACCTGGCCTCTGCGGTTTATTCTCACGAGTACGTTGGGCATACATGGCTGTGTACGCCCCGCGTACGTCACTTCCTCAGTCCACTAATAAGGCCCAAAGGTCAAAGCCCAAACCAGACCATTCCATTCTTCAATTTTAAAATGATTAATAATACCTGGAAAATCCCGGATGCTACAGAGATTTTTTTTAATAAAATGCAATCTTGATCAATGGAATTCATAAATATTTAAGAAATAAAGAGATGATAGTTAGTTTACTCTTTATAATGGTTTCCCTCCTTTCCCCTATTGTTGATGTTGGTTGTTTCCATCCCATTTCCCCTGCTGCATGTTCTTAATATGACTATTCATATGTTGATTTCGTTTCAAAACACCCATTTCCTGATATCGTCACCTTCCATTGTTCTGAATCTATATCGACGATGTATAGTAAAACAAGAAAAAGTATTGAAGTTCAAACTCAGTAGAGAATTAATTTTAATTACCCATAAATACATACAACAATTGGAAAACAAAACTAATTATTCAAATGGGAACACAATACCATCAGTTTTATGACCCATCAAGCCTAATTTCCAACTTTGCTTGATGAACCACTTGTTTTATTCTCATTTGCCTATATAAACATGTATATATAACTAATCCATATTAATATTCAAGGAAATATAAGCACAACCATATTTAAATACCGATTAAGGCATAACCTAATAAGAATTTTAGCTAACCAAATGTTTCTTACTGAAGAACTCTAAGATTCATCCCAGTCAACTAGTAATCAACAAAATTAATATGCTTTGAAGGAGGAAATAAGTGAAGGAACTGATTTTAATATTGTGAGCATTCAAGAAGTTAATGGGGTGTATGATTTGTTGATTTTATCGAGAATTGGAATTCAATTATGTTTTAGTTCCATGTTTGGTTGTAAATGAGTATGAAACTAAATTTGGTTGGAATTCATATCTTTTGACAGATGGATATTAACATTCTACACTAATTAAGTTTACAGCATTGTGACCCAGCAAGAAAATGAAACCGAGCAAGCAACAAGTAATTTCAGATTTATGACCCTAAATTCTGATGATAAGATGATGATTCAACTTCATGCCCCAAATTTGAGGTCAATCAATCAAGTTTAGATTTTCAGAATAACCCAAATTACAAAGGGTTGGCCACGGAAGAGAAGAGAGCAACGACTTTGCAGGTCAAAGGAGAGAGAAAACGAGTAGAATACTTGTGGATGAGAGTTTATCGGTGTGAATAGTGACGAGGGCAGTGGTTGTGGGTGACTGTTGGCAGCGTCATCCTCACATGAGATATAACGGAGGAAGGAGAGATAAGGATGTCAACGACGGCAAACGGGACGGAGATTGCATCCCCCGCCCCCACCCAAGAAATTTTCCCATTCCCTCGTCCCCACCCCGGAAATTTCCAGTCTCCCCACCCCCGCCCCTGCCCCGAATTCATGGATTACTCCTCGCCCCCGCCCCGTTTCACCGCCTCCGATTGATTTTGAGATATTTTTATTGGGTTAAAAGAAGTTGTTTTTTGGGCTTAAAGAAGCTATTTTTGTTGGTTAAAAATAGTTATTTATAACATAATTTTACATGTTAAAAACAAAAAATATTATCACATCTCAAAAACGTTATACTAACAACTTAAAAACATGATTTTTTGTTGACTTTTGGAAGCTCAGAATCATTGTTATTATTTATTATATTTATATAATTAATATATATAAATATTATATAGTATATTAACGGGGCCTCCATGGGGATTTGGGACGGGACCGCCTACCCTGTCCCTGCCACTGTCCCATGTTCTTTTTAACAAATATCCCCCATATGAGATCGGGGCCCTACGCATTTGGGGTCCCACGAGACTTTTTGACATTCCTAAGGAGAGGCGTGATACAGACTATCGGTAAAGAAACAAGGCCCTTTAGAAGAAAATGACATATTTGCTCGCATGTGAGTGTCACATGAGGTAGTTAACAACAACAGCTTAACGGGAGTTAAGTCCGTGACCATTTTCACATAGAAACATGGTCAAAAGGACCGTGAAACCAAAATAGTCGGGGTTTGGACTAAAATCCGGAAAAAATGCATACAACAAGGACTATTTTTGTAGTTTTGTCTTTAAAATGTCTCTTATTCGGTCACTGTCAGAATCAGGGTTGAGTTTACCCAGTCAGATCTGACTCAGTAAGTAAACTATAAACAACCCTTAGTTTCATGTTATTGGTTCTATATGAAATAATGTATTTTTTGAATGAAATTAGTGAGCCTTGCTTGTTGTACATGAAAGACATGCTAACAAAAACTAAAAGGCCTACCAAGTGATTTTTTTTTTAAAAAATTTCATTTTAACCTATGATGCCTAGTTCTCGAGTTTAACAAAAAAAAAAAGAAAAGAAGAAAAAAGAAAGTCAGAAGAGAAATGAAAGGAAAACAAAATTTCTTATGTGTTTCCGAGTTAGAGAGAAGTAGAAGGAAAATTAATCATTTTATTCTTTCTTTCCAAATCCTCCAAATCGAAATGAAAGTTAGGAGAGAAAATATCATTCCATTTCCCTCCACTTCCTTCCTTTAATAAAATTCGGGAACACCAATTTCTTTTATTTTTCTTCTTATTTCCACCATTTTGTTTTCTTTTCTCTCGTTATGTTTTGAACTCGGAAACAGGGTGTTACTAGAAGGTATAACACTTTGTGGGCCCCCATTCTTTTGGAGCAGATAAATGAAGTACAAACTATTTAACATAACCTTAAAATAAAGAGATCATGTCGAAACATTGACCACATGAAATTTCATTATATATTACATGCATATATAACACTGAACTCTAATTAACAATTGAAATAAGCTCATAACTATTAAAATAAAGAAGCAAGCAACATCATGATGTCAAAATCAACATCAATCTATGAACTTGGCCCTAGGCTCCAGTGTAACCAACAACCCATGTTTCATATAGAGTGTAGTGTTTACTTTTGGACATACTTTATGGCCTTTGACCACTTTTATTGTGTACCTCCATAGAATCGAAGCAACCACCATTTTCATCTGCATATATGCAAACTTTTTGCCCACACATAACCGTGGACCTGCATTAAACACCGTGTATTTGAACTGGCTTTCGCTGATGAATTCACCATCTCTGATCCATCTTTCAGGCCTAAATTCACAACAATCTTTACCCCATATGGTCGGCATCCTAGCCATGCCATACATGACGTATACTATTCGTGCACCCTTTTCGATTGGGGTCCCATCAGGGAACATGTCGTCTTCTTGTGGCTCTTTGTGGTCAAATGAGACAGGAGGGTATAGTCGTAAGGATTCTGTTATTGCTGCTTGCAGATATACCATTTTCTTTAGCTCTTCTTCTGTGAAGGTTGTGTTTTCTTGATTTTCCTTGCTGGGGTTTTCTCTTTGTTGTAAAATCTGATGGATTTCTTCGAGTATTCGAGTTTCTACTGATGGGTTTTTGGTAATTAACCAAAAGAACCATGCTAGTCCAACAGAGCTGGTGTCTCTACCTGCTAAGATGAAACTTATGCAGAAATCTTGAAGTAGTTTATCAGTAAAAAACACTTCTTGTCTATCCTGTTCCATGATGATAAGCCTTGACAAAAGATCACACCTTGAGTTGTTATTTATAGCCTCCTTGTTACCTAATAATTCCATCTTTCTTTCTTTTACTGTTTTCTCAGCAAAACCATGCACAATTTTGACAGCTTCATGTAGTGTTTTCTCAAACCCTAATCTGAAAAACTTCATTGGTTTCCACACATATGGAGGCATCAAGAACCTCAGCAAACTTGCGTAAGTCACTTGTTCAAATGCCTTGGCGAAGGGTATCTCTGGTAATTCAACTTCCAAACACCCCGAATTAACACCAAATGCCACAGCACAAGTATTGTCAAAAGTGAAACGAAGAAGTACATCTTGTAAATCAATAACACACCCTTTTTTCGCCTCTAAAAGCTTCAACAACTTCTCATGCACCAACGTTTTGATGGCGTTCATGGAGAATTGTGTGAAGCGAGTTGAGTGCATCTCAGAGTTAGCCACACGACGTTGTTGCCTCCATAACTCATCATCAGCATTAAAAATCCCATCTCCAAGAAAATCATAAAATCTTTCCCTATAAGCTTTACCCTTCGGGTAGTTCTTGAAATTTGTTTTGAGTATGTACTCGATTTTCTCAGGATCACACGTGGCAATCCCATAGGTACCACCCATCCACATACCTCTATAGTAAAAGCTTCCACCAGATTTGACCAAAGCTTCGCCACCCCATTCATAAATGTGGGTCACATGTAAGAGTACCGTTGGAAGTATGCCAAAAACCGGCCATGTCATAGGACCCTTTGTGGTGAGTCTTTGAACTATTGAGTTGAAGATGAAGACAATAAGGAGTCCTATGGCTATGTCTGAGAGCCATATATGGGAATACAACCATTTTGGTAAGGAGAATATGAGGCTCGTGATCATGTTGTACTCCATCTTTTGTTTTTGTGACGAGGATTTTTTGGTTTCATGAAATAATAGATGAGGGGTTGTATATGAGAGAGTATTCAGGAGAGTACATCAAGCTAGTCAAATGTAATGAAACATACAAATCTATGTATCTATGTATATGCATGAGAGAGGGCGTGAGATTGGTGTGCTTTATGGATCTCGGTTAAGTATATGCATATATATTTATATAAGTTGTTCTAAGTTTCAGACGGCTCTTTTGGTAAGTTGTAACTCATTTTGTAACAACCATCTTACCATGCAAATTGTGTGTGAGTTTTTATCTAAGTTTAAGTACAAAACTCGTGTTATATATTTACGTGTGGAGAAGTTTTTTTTGTCCCAAATTTCAATCACTTGATAAGAAATGATGAAAAAAAATCATTGATGTCACAAAAATCATATGACTATAGCAGTTTAATTTGATTCTTTCTTACAAATTCAAAATGTTACTCATTTGAACATCAATATTAGATTTCATATATAGGATTCTATTTTATAGTCATCATTAAGATCCTTTTAAAGTATAAAGTTTGAATCTTTGGTAATCAATTAATATTTTATTTAGGGTGGTGCTAATTAAATGGACCCATTGAAGGGACATATCTGTGTAGGTCTCACACGATGTGTAGGAGAGGGGTTCATTTAAAATCACATTTTATTTTAATGAGCAATCTTTGGAAAGATTAATGAATGATCAAGCCACCTTTAACGAGCCATATATAATGCATGATCTCAGGACCCCCACGTACGTGTATTAATCATTTATATATGAAGTGTGGTTTTATCATATTGTTTATCTGTATGCATGCCACAAGAGCATAGGAAGATATAGAGGAATTCTTACTGAATTTGATTCGAGGTGACTCTCTTATGAAAGACTGATTAATGATAAGTGACCTTGAATAACAGTCTCAGGATTAAACGTGAACCATTAATTTGTCTATCAAGACTGATTTTGACATATTATATGTATGTTAAAATCATAGCTATACAAAGATGCAGAGGATAAAGTTTGAATCTTTCTTGCTCGAGCTTTTACTACGAGTTCAGATGAGGGTTTTTGATAAATTAAGATAGTATTTTTGTTTGAACTTGAAAAGGGCAAATGATGAATGAAACACTTCAGGTGGAATTTGAATATAACAGGAAGTGATCAACTCATGAGTCATGCACATGGTAGTTGAGTACAATGAAATATACATACCATTTGATTATTTCGTAATTTTATGTATGGTTTGTAGATAGATCTTGAAAATTACGATGTAAATATAGGTAATTTCCTAATGATCACTCTTTAATAATAATTGTAACGATGATGATACTATTTATAATAATGATGATATGAAGTAACGTCTCCACAGATCTGAAATTCTATATAACTACTTTCCTACTACTTCTATAGACATTGATTAATCCATGATCATATCAAAGATTTTATCAGATTGTTTATTTCGTTCCAAGGATCTTCACATTCATACTTAATTTGCTTTTTTGGATATTTTCCCACATATTACATGCTTACAAGACGGTTTAAGAACCTCCACCTCCTTTTTCTTTTTCTTTTTCTTTATAAATCTACTTTTTGCTTTTTCCAATGTCTCCCCATATTTAGCAAATAGATCCACCCAAGTCCACTTGATGAGTTGTACACATGCTATAAGTACTTGTACTATAACAGTCTACTAAATGTTTACCTTGTATATCTCACTATCCTTTCCACAGTTAATATTATACTATGTCAAATAGACAAAGCAATGGGTAGGAGTTGATTCAAGCTCAACCATGGAGTTAAGTGGAAATGACAGTTTCACCCATCAATCTCCCTCTACAGAACTATCACTTCAGCAAGAATTCATCATAAATAAGACTATACTCACTCATGAAACCAACCAGCATATTGTGGATTGCAAGATTTTGTTTCAAGCCATGGAAAATGTCATGTTCTACGCGTCTAATTCCAGCAATGTATTATAACCATAGTTCTTGATTCTTTCAATCATTTAGATTCTTGATCTTTATAACAAAGTTGTCAAATTCTTGTTGCAGGTTATTGATGATGTGTGCATTCTTGATGGTATTGAAAACTTTGCTTCCAAAGAAACTTTGGATCATGCTGTTTATAAAATTTCACGTGCGATACTATTGCAGTGTCATGACACCATGGATATGCACACAAGAACTCTAGTTTTACTAGAGATGTTAGGGAATTACAGATGGGATGCAAAAGTGGTTTTAATACTCACTGCATTTGCAATAAGTTATGGTGAATTTAGGTTGATTCTTGATGTTTATGCACACAGTTCACTAGCAGCATCACTTGCAACACTCAAGAACTTGTGTTGGAGAAATTTTGAAGCTTTGAGACCCCAGCTTAGGGCTATGGAATTGCTAATTAAAGAAATGGTGGAACTGGCTAAGTGTGTGATTAGATTTGAAAGCCTGCCTCTTCAACTTGTACTTTGTGATGATCATGGTTGTACTTTAATGGCTGCTGTGAAGTCTCAGATTTACTTGGCTACTTATTGGATCTTTAGAAGCTCATTGACATCTGCTTCTCAGATCAGAGACTTGATTGCCATGAAGCAGGAGCAAGTGCTTGTTCTTTTCTTTTCTTTTTTCTTTTTTCTTTTTTTCACTTTTCTTGGTTACATCATTATAACCATTTATATAATAAAGCTCCAAACTTTATTCCAGGAATTCGAATGTAACTGCAAATGCAGCATGGGGTTTGTCTAGTTTGGCTCTTAGGTTGAGCAGATTATGCAATTGCCTCAGACTACAGGTTGATGCATCTCAAAAACAGATAGGTAATACACTCACAAAGGAATCTTGAATCTTGAATCTTGTCATTAGGGAAATGAAAGATTTTTTTATTTATTGATGTTATTTTATTTGTGTATCTTTGGTAGAGGAGAAATTGTACAAAATGCTGATGGATCTTCTCAAGGATCAGACACAAGTTGATAATCAAAAAGTGCTTCACTTATTCTTTTCTTTGAATGATGATATGCCCCTCAAAGATTCTTCTTGTTCTCAGTCAAAGGTAATTAGTGCTATCTTTTATTAAAGAGTGTAGGGACCCAAAATGAGGTCCAATGTACACTCCCAGTTTTTGTTATTTTATTATATACTTAGGTTGAAAATCCTCAATATAGTTTAATAACTTTAACTGCTTTATAAAACAGGTAGGTATATCTAAACTGAAACAGAAGATAGTAATGCTTTTGGTTTCAAAGCCGGATCTTTTGCCAGTAGATCAAACTCTATTGCTGCTACAGCAAACACATGAGCATCCTCACAACAAGAACATAGAGCAAGATTACGAAATAGTGTGGGTCCCCATTTCGTCTTCAGAAACATGGACTCTTGATGAACTCATAAGTTTTGATTACTTATCGAACTCGTTACCATGGTTGTCAGTCAGGCAACCATGGTTGCTAAACTCAGCAGTTGTGAGAATGATGAGAGAAGAATGGAAGTTTGAAGAAAATCCATTAATGGTAGTATTAGATTCACATGGATTGGTTTCGAATTACAATGCAATGGACATGGTGTTGATTTGGGGAGCAAAAGCTTTTCCTTTTTCGGAATGGAGAGAGAAAGAGCTTTGGGAGGAACAAAAATGGAACTTGCAGCTTATGTTTGATGGAATAGATCAATCCCTAACGAACACTGTAAGATTCAAGAAATTAGTTAATTATATCGGTGAATCCTATCTTTTTTGGTTTTATCTGTCGATCTCATCATCATTGATATGATTAAAATATTGGTCTTTTAAATCGGTTTTCAGAGAGAGTTATATCTTCAATGATTCGAAACAGATGGAATAAAACAAGATGTTTTTTAGGGTTTTGAAAATACTTACGTTTCTGTTGTTATCAGGTGGATGGAGGCCGAAATATTTGCATATGTGGAAGTAGTAACCTAGACTGGATAGAGGAATTCGAATCAAGAATCAAGAAACTACAAAATGCAGGCTTGCAGATTCAAGTAATCTACATCGGAAGCAGAAACGCCAGTGAACACACGCAAACAAAAGTAGGGTTTTTCAACAAAGACATCTCCTTCACTCCCATAAAGATTCGGTTTTTCTGGCAAAGATTGGAGAAGATCAAAGATTCAATCCTTCGTGTAGGCCAATTTCATAACTTTGCTAACTATGAAACCCTTTTGAAGCAAGTCTCAGAATTGCTAGACACCGATGATGATAACAACAATTGGGCTGTTTTTGGATGTGGGAATTCTAAAGATTTGGTGAAGTTACAAGGAAACAAAATCTTGACATTCTTTGAAAGGGTTCATGTTTGGGCTCTAAAACTTGCAACATTGGGGTTGGTGGGTGCGATCAGAAGCGTTGATGATGATGAAGTGAACAACACGATGATGACTTGTGATCACACAAACATGGTTCCATATGATCAAGGACCTGTGATTTGCGATAAATGTAAGCGTCTGATGAAACCGTTTGTTGTTTATCAATGTGATGGATCCAAATAAAGTGTTTTAGATTAGTAATAAAGACGATGTTGTTTTATCGAAAAACATCCATGAAATAAGTGTAGTTCTTTATAGTCACTGTTTTGTATTGTTCACACAGTAGCCTCGGTACATTTTGACACTTTTTTGTTGTCAAACAAGTGAACAACTGATATATATTGCGAAAACATGATTGATTGTTCTGAACCATGTTTCAATAAAACTTTACCATTATATGGTTGCTAAAAAACCCACCATTGTTTGTGTAATTTTAAACAGATTTTGTAAATTGTAGTCCGATTTAGGGGGTGTTTGGGATATCTTTTTCCCTTCAAAAGGATTTTTTGTAAAAGGACTTTTTACAAAAGATGTTTTTAATAATGTGTTTAGATTAGCTTTTGAGTAATTTAAGTGTAAAGGGTTGAAAAGTTACAAAAAGACACGGATACCTGACTTTTCAAAATGCTTCTTTTCCTTCTTTCTCAAAAGTTGGTTTTAAAAGATCTTTTCCCATTGCCAAACATCTTTTACCTTATTTTTAACTTTTTGGAAAAGATAGGGGCAAAAGTTGGTTAAAAAGATAAAACAAACAGCCTCTTAGTTCTAAATTTAGACCATTTGGATTTAGACAAATAGCCCCTATAGCTCAGTGGTAGAGCGCCAGTCTTGTAAACTGGAGGTCTGTAGTTCGATCCTGCATGGGGGCAAATGTATAAAATTTTACCAGTTTTGTTCTTATTACTTTGATTTTCTTATTTTCTTCTCTTTTTTGTCCTCACCGGTTCACCATAACCTTCTTCCCCTTTTGGCCTCATCAAGCCCAAATAATTTCTCCTTTTTTAGCTTCGTCTCTGTCACAGAAAGAGACCCCCAAAAATGAAAAATGTCTCAAAATTTTTACAAGATTATACGCAAACCCTTCAATGGGAGCAGAATTAGAGCTTTACTCAACCATCACAATCCAATACAACCCATAATTCCTCATCTCCTTAATCACCCTGAACCCAACACCAAAACCCTTTTTCCCGAATCTTCATCTGAGAACAAATCGACCCATTTCAATCGATTCCATGTTTACCCTAGTTTTTCATTTGAGCATTTCTTGAATCCGATTTCTTCAACTGGGTTCCCGGTTTCTAAGCCCGAGGAAGATCCGGAACTCGATGGGTCGAGTTTGAGTAACGATATCATCCGGGCGGATAGTGTTAAGAAGAAAAGGAAGAAGAAGATGAACAAGCATAAACTAAAAAAACTCAAAAAACGTCTTCGTCACTGCTCGTAATGAAAGGTGTTTCTTTTTCTTGAATTAAGTATTGATAAATGATGCTACTATCAGATATTTGAGTGTTGTTGCTGGTTTATGATACATTTGTCTAAAATTATGCAATAAAGTTATGGTTGAACTGTGAAAATCTGTGTGTTTAGCTATTTATTTGCTATCAGAGTCTCCTTCCTATAGAATTCTTCTGCAATTTTTAGGTTGAATTCAAGAATGATTATTTCTTTACTTGAATGAATCAACATAATTTCTTATTCCCAGTAACTCAGATGTGAGTAAAACTTATGATGGGAGTAATAATTGGTGCTTTCAAGCATTGGTTGTGTGCTGTATCAAGAAATTTCAGCCCAGATGCATACTTGAATTTGCCAAAATGTCAGCTCAAACACCGAACATTCTGCCAAAATTTCACCCTAAACACAAATTGAGATCAAGTTCGTTTCTAGTGTATGAGCTTCAACTCATGACTCTTGGTATCCATTTCTTCTAAAGGGTCTTTCATACATTTGTAAGGTTTTGTTTTACCCGAATCATAGCTTTATTGAGTTTGATCATTCCATCCAAGCTTACAAACGCCTATTTGGCTGCTATCCGTAGGGGGCATTTGGTTTGCTGGATCGCATGGGACTTAGCTGGGATTGAATTCAATTCCATTCCGGTGTTAGGTTGCAAATGAGTACCGAATTGAATTTTGTTGGAATTCAGAAAATCCTACTAGTGAAGAATCCAACTTCTCTTCCATAAAGTTATTGAATTCAATTCCAATCCTTCCTCATTTGTGTAAAGGCCTAAAGGGGAACAATTGAAAAAACCTTTCAGCTCATGCATATTGTCCCAAGATTAGTCAAGGATTATATTTTTTTGAGTTCTTAAACTTTTTTTTTTGTCTGGATTAGGTCTTTATTATAGGGTACACCATGTTTACTAGTCTGACTTTTTGTGTTTCGTTTTGGTAGCTAAACTATATTTTTTGTACACCAATCCCTCGACCAATTAGTTATACTGTTTTACGAGCTTTTTATATGTCATTTTTTATTGGGATAATAACTTAGGAGGGTAATGATCTTTATTTGGCGTACACAAATATCATTTATCTCTTTTTGTATACGTATTACCAACAATCTTTGTTCAGTGTACATGTATTACCAAAATTCTTTAGCGTTGTAAAATACCATTGAATTTTTTTTGTACATGTTTACTTGATAAATACTAGATACCCCATGCCATGTGGTAGTTTGTGAGTTTTTTTTGTACATATTTTACAACTGAGCACCTTTTTTTTTTTTTTTTTTTTTTTGTATATTATACCAATAATCATATAAACTTATTAAAAAGAGAATAAGTAGTGATGCTTGGTTTCGAACTCGTGACCTCAAGGAATAAAGACATTGACTTATTGAGTCTAAACACGTTCACAATTTTCAACACCCGTTAATATAAAAATGAAAATGGATGAGACGATCAAACCTGAGTTTCTCCCCAATCTGGTGAGGGCTTGTACCACTAGTTCGAGTGTTGTGGCTGAAATTAATACCATATTGTATATAATGTATACTAGTGATACATATATTAGTAGCTTTTTGTATACATATGTATTGTTTATTGTTTTGGTCAAAAATCGATCAAGTGCAATTCGACCAAGTTATATGAGAGGCTGTGGTGTTAGTATAATGTAAATATAGAATAATGATCAAAGTGAGACAAGTGAGTTACAAGGAAAGCCCTTGATTCTTTGTAGGATCTCCGACCTAAAACATTGGGAGGTGGTAATGATCACTTGCATTATTGTGTTTTATTGATTTCAATCCGAGATTACAGAGATGATGAAGATAAAATGAGTACAAGTGTAATGGTAGAGCTAATTGTATATGTAGTGTGTAATTTACAGGTGTTATTCATAGTCTAAGCTAATCAACAAGAAGTCCGAGATTTCCGAGATCCTCCTTGAACAAGTATTTGCACGTTGTTTGACTTGGTATTCTCGGGTCTTTAGCTTGGTTGAAGTGATTTTCTGTTGAGAATAAGTCTTGTGTTGAGTAATTATGCACATGTGAGTAAAAGAGAGAAAAATATAGCCGTTATAAGTGTTAAGAAATATTAGTAATAATAATCAGGATCCTGCGATATATTTAAGGATCCTGAGGTTTCAGCAATATTAAGGATCATGAATATGATTCTGGGACCCTGTCCCTAACAATTGCCCCAAAATTATACATGCGAAATATAAATGTTAGTTTTTAAATATTTAGAGGCATACTTTTGAAGTAAAAATGAAGTAAAAAGTTCTAACGGATAGGGTAATTTAAATTTCAACGGATAAATTTTTAGCTGTTGGAATAGGTCAAATCACTCTTCTACCTTTCCTTGATTCTTGTATAAATAGGGTATTCAGCCTTTCAATTTCGTCTTACTCTTTTAGCTCTTCTTCTTAACGTCTACCGAATATCATCGAAGGTACTACCTTTGTCTAGACTTGGCAATTTGAGACATGAATACACGAATCTGTGAGAGACATGACACGACACGAATACACGACACAAATATATCTTAAAAATTGAGATAAACCTTATTTCTTATCGTATAATCGTATCGTGTGAAATTCGTGGCTGACACGTTTTCATGACACGAATAAACGAATTGCCAGGTCTACCTTTGTTTATCTTTCTCCTTCCTCGTTTTTTTTAAATATAGTCAAAAAAGGAGTTCGATCGCGCAAACATCATTGCTATACTGATGATGATTTCGTAGATCAGAAAATTCTTTCCTACGAGGAAACTTGTACCTTCGACGACGATAGTATCGAAGCTTTGAATTCGATTGGAACCTTTCCTACCGGTATTGTTTCAAACCTTTTGATCTCAGGATCCAACCGGATTCTATTTCTCCCGTTTGGGTTTGTTTTCCTGAGTATCCTTTTACCTTAGGCCTTACTTATCATGTAACACTCCAATGCAGGTATTCCATTGTTTACCCTCAAAGTATTGCATTTTGGCAAAAAGGGACCCTCCGTACGTTGGGCGTACATATGCGTACGCTTAGCGTACGCGTGTGCATGCAACAGTTAACATGTGCAGTTCCAAGGAAATGTTTTTGACCGCCACCCGTTGTACCACTTACCGGTTAACATGTCCTAAAATGTGGTGATGAATTTTACGAACAAGTTGGGTTGGCTACATAGCAGGGAATTTGCTATCTCGCCTAGATTTGATTGGGTGAAACTAGGGGAAGTGGGGCTTACGGAAAGAATGGATCCTTATTTGACAAAAACATTTACTATGGATGGTTTTTCTTTCACTTGTAACGGGTGGAAGAATTTATTTGAAATAAGTGAGCCGGTTTTTCAAGAGTTATGTGTGGAATTTTTCGCATCCGTATCATTCGAGGGTGCCACCGTAGACCCATACTATTCATGGGCTTTAGTTTTTCGCCTCGGGGGCGAATACAAGGAATGCAGTTTGGCGGAGTTTTCTTGGCGCATGGGGATATATGATGAGAGTGAGACGCGCTCACCAGCTTTTGATATCTTCTTTAGGACAGCTGTTCGGGAGTATTTTGCCGAGAGTTAGTGGCTATGATTTTTAGGCAACCATCGCAAAAGGAGCATTCCATTCGGGTGTCTCGCAAGAAAGCCATATTCGGTCCCCGATTCATAGACTCCTTCATCGGTTGGCGACTTTTTCTATCAACCACAAGAAGCATGGAGACAAAGTAACGAGTTTAAATTTATTCTTCTTGTGGACAATTATTGCACCTGCGGTTTTTTGTAATATCCCTTATCATCTTGCTAGCTACTTGGGTAGCAAGGCAGCCATCTCTCGAGCAGGAAACCCTATCAATGGGGGACATTTTGTTATTCGCCTGGCGAGATCTTATGGCCTTTTAACACCTCGGTTGACTAGGACTTTAACATACAAGGCGGGGGGGATGATCTTTCTGTGTGATACTTAGAGTCTATGTATGTTGTGGTAAATATGGGCTCGCACTGGAGCATTCCTGCTGACAATGATGTGGAACAACTTGACCAACCCGAGCAGCAGCTGCGTCCGCGAGGAAGGAGGAATGTGAGGGGGCGCGGTGAGAGAGGACAACCGATGCACCAGAATGCACCAATTGGAGGAGCACCTTTTGGCGATGATACTATGGCTGGTTATTTTGATCAAATGACCTTGAGCATGACCTGGATTGGAGGGACGATGGAGAATATGATCTAGCACTTCAATGTTTCGCAACCACCTCATTTAGGAGATCACTATCCAGTTTGTCCGACATGGAGTGAGTATAGGACGAGACGCAAAGATGGAGTTGGACCGAGTGGGACACACGACGAAGAAGACGATGATTGATATTTATCCTTTTCTTTATAGTTTTTATTTCTTTCTTATTTTTGGTGTGTTTGTTTTTGTTTTGCTTTTATTTGGTTTGATTGTGTAACAAAACTTTTTGATGATTATGTTGCTTCCTTCCACATTTTGGTTGCTTGTTTGCAGAAAATCATGAGAGAAAATAGAGATATAGAGATAAGAGAATATACAAGTTAAGCCGTGTCGTTTAGAGTCAAGAGTCAAGACCCATAATTTTTAATAAGTGTAGGGTTAATTTCGTGAGAGAAACAAGATTAGCAATGAGGAAAGAGTCAAACAAATATAGAGTCATAGAAGGGTCTTAATATATTAAGACATTCAGTTGCATTGCACTTGTTCGAAGAAATTTTTGCAAGATGACAATCTGTGAGACCCAGTTCTCACGATGTGAGCTCGAAGATAATAAAATTCAGAGTTCAATTTCATATGACACCACGTTGTGAGTTTCATACCCCACGTCGTGGGTCATATATTTCTTCTATTTGGAAGCCTTTTATTCCATATTCATGTCATGGCTCACTATTATCATGACCTGAGATCATAAATCTGGTTAACTCTTTCTCTCAACAATAAAATGTGGTGTATGCTTTCCCACACTACGATGCATTGCTTTGAAGATTATATATACCACACCTGTTGAAG